ATTAAACATTATCATAAGTATGTAAATGAAAAATGACCTGACCAGCCAGGTCAGATTACATGTGGCCAGCAGTAACAGGCTGGTTGATCAGACCCTGATCCACCACAAAGCCTAGTTACAGACTGGGCTGCAGGGGGTGTTGACCCCTGAAGCCCCTTTCCAGGTATATAGGCTTCACTACTTTTTGTGATTTTGGTCATCCATGGTAGGTCTAGGAAGGCATCCCCCGGGGATACCAGACCGCTACCATAGTCAGGGATCATTATTATTATAATCTATGGGTTTAGCGCTCTCGGTTGAGTGCTAAACCCATAGAATTATACAGCTTTAAGCGTTGTTACCACAGCTTTTAGTGATCATTTAATCACTTACTGCACCAGGAAAATCATTAGAGAGCCAGATAGGCCTACACAGGACAATAAAAATTAGGTCAACTATAAGCTTCAGTAAAGGAACACTGATAAACAAACAACTTTATTTCTCTCTGCAGTATACAAAATATAGTTTACAGGTAATAAAATACTGTTAAGCACAAAATAAAGTCACTACGATGAAGTGTACTTCAGGTAGACTAATGCTAGTGTTCACACGATACTTAAGACTTCGCACAGGTTACTGAGTACGTACACAAACAAATTTAGACGTTAATCCTTAAACTGTCCGAATGTAGATCTATGTTTGGACAGTTTAAGGGTTAAAAACAGTACAAACACCAAGACAATTTCTTTAAGATTGAATTATGAATACAAGTAATGAGAATAATAATACAGTAGGATCTCCATATCCACTGATTCAGTATCTGTTGTCTCAGTTATCCACAGTTTACTGTAGCCCTGAGAAAACTCTTAATTTAGCATAATAAAGACCACAAATTGCAAAAGTAGTGATGGTGACAGTTGTTTAACCCTTTGAGGGTCGACAGGCCCTCTCCGAAACTCGTTCTCAGGGTCGGCCAAATTTAAAAAAAAAAAAAAATTATTTTCTCTTATGAAAAGATAGAGAATCTTTTCCCGATCATAAAGACACCAAAAGTTTGAAATTTGATAGAAAACTTACGGAATTATGCTCTCGCAAAGTTAGCGGTCTCGGCGATGTTTACGCATCGGCGATTTTGCCCACTTTGAGCCCCATTTTCGGCCAATTTCACTGTACTAGTCGACAAAAAACATGAATATTTCGCTAGAACTCCATTTTTTCTATCGAATGGGTGCAAGAAACCACTCATTTATGAAATTCAACTATCCAGTACAGTGGTCAGAATTTAGTAATTTTGCCAATTTCACACAAATTTCAAAAGATGCCAATTTCCGAATAGGGTCCAGAATAAACAAGACAGACATTCCTGGCACTAAAATGACATTTCCTCTAGTCATTAGTCATGTCTCAAGGCCTCTCTTATATTCTTTTGCTTTCCACTTTGAATTTTTATTTTCACAAAAAATATAAGATTTACTGTTATGCAGACTACTGCATTAGTGTAAAAAATGGTATAAATATTATTGGTGTACTTGTGAAAGAATATTAGACTCACCAGTTGACGTGTATTGCACGCTTGGCACGATTTGTTTACTTTTGAAGTTTGGTAAAAATCGAACATTTCTACTACTTTGAGCTCAATTTCAAGGCACCTTTCTTTGTAAAACCAGTCAAAATCATCTCAATTTCTGTAACATGTCTTCCATTCTATAAAATGAGACCAAGAAAACTAGAATACAACAATAAATACCATACGAAAATACACTGCAAAGTCGCTGATTTATTCAAAAAAAATGGTCAAAGTTTTTTTTTTTCTCATTATGCACTGTGTGCTGCAGGATTTTTTTTAGACTGTGCACACTGACCACATAGACCCATTCTTTCATATGAAGGCCTACCAGCTTTCTCCCACTAGATTTGAGGCCGCTAGAATTTATGAGTACTAGTACGTCAAAAACCCCTACGCGTAAGACGTACTAGTACGACGAAAACCCTCAAAGGGTTAAAGCCCAAGAGAAGCTGTGAAGTGCTTCCCATCAATGAAAAAATAATAATTCTTCACTTACTGTGTAATTTATCAATTAAACCTTATAATAGGTATGTATAGGACTTATATACAGTGGTCCCTCAATAATCGTCCAGCCTGAAAGTCGTCCATTTCGGAAATAGTCCCGTTATTTCGTCTAAACATTGGCTCGCAAATGGTCCGTTAGCTCGCTAATCGTCTTTCGTCCTGGACGTGTATTCACGGCTCTGAGCCACCTCAGCCTCCCTTCCCAGCCAGTGTGCCATTGTTTACCAGTGAGCGACGGTCCCCTCACGTGTTCATACGAAATATTTCATAATATTCCATTCGTTTTAGTGCTTGCAAGTACTAAATAAGCTACCATGGCTCCAAAGAAAGCTCCTAGTGCCAAGCGCCAAACCTTTGGTAAAGAAGGTGAGAAATATGATTGAATTTAAGAAAAACATCATTGAACAATATGAAAGTGGCGTACTTGTGGCCGAACTGGCCAAGATGTATAACAAACCCCATACAACCATATCTTCCATTGTGGCAAAGAAAAAGGAAATAAAGGAAGCTGTTGTTGGAGAAAATTGTGGCCAGATTGTGTCCACAAGAGGGATTTTGAAGGGTTTGTGGCTGACCCTGATGAGCCTATGTCAGTTGTGAACTCTGTTGTGGCATTGGGGAGTTCCATGGGGTTGGATGCGAGTTTGGAGGATGTGGAAGAGTTGGTGGAAGACCACAATGAAGAGCTCACCACTGAGGAGCTGCAAGAGCTTCAGCAGGAACAGCAACAGATTGCAGCTCAGAATCTTGCTGCAGAGGAGGAGGAAGAGAGATGGAAGAAGTTGCCTTCTTCAGAAATTAAGGAGATTTTTGAAATGTGGGGTAAGATGGAAAGATTTATGGAGAAACATCACCCTGAGAAGGATGTTGGAAGCCATATTGGCAACTTGTACAGTGACAGAGTCTTGCCCCATTTTAGGGAAGTGTTAAAGATACTCCAGAAACAGAGCTCTCTGGACAGTTTTTTTGCGAGACAGGACTCCAGTGACTCTCAAGCTGGTCCTAGTTGCATTAAGAAACAGAGAAGAGAAGCAACCCCAGAAAAGCAATTGGTACCTGAGGTGCTGCTGGAAGGGGATTCCCCTTCCAAACTATAAACAATCCACTCTCTCTCCTCCTCCTCCAGTCTCCCATACACTAAGAAGAATCACCAATAAAGGTAAGTGTTATGCTGTTAATGTTTCATTCATCATGTCCCATTGTATTGTTTATGTACTACATCTATATTTCATGTAAAAAAATTTTTTGTTTTAATACTTCTGGGTGTTAGGAACGGATTAATTGTATTTACATTATTTCTTATGGGGAAAATTGATTCGAAAATTGTCTATTTCGATAATAGTCCCACTTCCAGGAACGGATTATGGACGATAATTGAGGGACCACTGTATAGAGTTTGCTACTATCCTGAGTTTGTTACCATCCAATGTTTGTTACTGTCCAGGGTTTGTTACTATCCAGGGTTTGTTACTATCCAGGGTTTGTTACTATCCAGGGTTTGTTACTATCCAGGGTTTGTTACTATCCAGGGTTTGTTACTATCCAGGGTTTGTTACTATCCAGGGTTTGTTACTATCCAGGGTTTGCTTTCTATCCAGGGTTTGTTACTATCCAGGGTTTGTTACTATCCAGGGTTTGTTACTATCAGGGTTTGTTACTATTCAGGGTTTGTCACTATCCAGGTTTGTTACTATCCAGGGTTTGTTACTATCCAGGGTTTGTCATTATCCAGGGTTTGTTACTATCCAGAGCTTGTCACTATCCAGAGCTTGTCACTATCCAGAGCTTGTCACTATCCAGGTTTTGGTATCCACGGCAGGTCCCTGGGACGTATCCCTGTGGATATGGGGGTCCTATTGTATTGATAATTATTACCACATTTGTGGTTGGGCAAACTGTTAAAGATATTTAACACAAACATATTTTGCAGTGCTAAATGAATTCCAAAGGTTAAGGAAGAGAGTGCAGAGGCATATAAAAGGAGCAGAAGCAAGGCACAGTTGTTCACAAATTGAAGAATGTAAGAATAACCCCAGAAATCTCTGGCAACAACTAAAACAGCTGGAGTATAGCCATAAACCTGTAGACAGATCTAACAGAGATAAATATTGATAATGCAGTATGCCATGAAACTAGAGGGGTGGTTTCAAAAATTTTTGATTTTTTTAATTATTTTAATAAAATCTTGCTGCATAACTCTTGTGGGTTTAGCACTTCAATAAGTTTTAAACTTACTACAGCAATAAAGACGTCACCCCAAACAGTCGTTAACTAGTAGATGTATCTTACGACTTCTTGTGAAAAGAAGTGTAAACTTGTGTTGTAGGCAGATGACAGTGCTCTGTTAGTGTCAGGTAAAGACCCACAAGATATAGCTAATTTACTATAACTAGAACTAGAGTCCTGTAGCAAATGGTTATTAGACAACAAACTACAGCGTCTCCTCACTAAGCAACATACTCGATTATCAATGCCTTGGACTTACGATGGGCTCCTTGACCAGTATACATACCTAAATAATGTATATTAGAGCTGATTTCCTCTATTCTGTTTATTACAATATACAGTACACTACTGTATAAACATTTAAAAATATACCAGAAATGTTATAAATGGTTCAAATGTGACATTAAAACAGTATCAAAGATGGTTGACATAAACTCACCACAATTATAATACGATCCTCATTTAGCCACAAATTCGTTTACCAACTTGGTCTTAGGAATGCAACTCTGTCATTAAGTGAGGAGAGGCTATATTGTTGCACCTCAGCAAAACAGAAGCCATACACTTTTAATGTCTGGTGTAATGGGGAACCCATCACGTCAGTGTAATGGGGAACCCATCATGTCAGTGTAATGGGGAACCCATCACGTCAGTGTAATGGGGAACCCATCACGTCAGTGTAGTGGGAACCCATCACGTCAGGGGTAGTGGGGAACCCATCACGTCATGAAAGTGGGGAACCCATCACGTCAGTGTAGTGGGGAACCCATCACGTCAGTGTAGTGGGGAACCCATCACGTCAGTGTAGTGGGGAACCCATCACGTCAGTGTAGTGGGGAACCCATAAAGTCAGTGTAGTGGGGAACCCACACGTCAGTGAGTGGGAACCCATCACGTCAGTGTAGGGGGGGAACCCATCACGTCAGTGTAGTGGGGAACCCATCACGTCAGTGTAGTGGGGAACCCATCACGTCAGTGTAGTGGGGAACCCATCACGTCAGTGTAATGGGGAATCCATCATGTCAGTGTAGTGGGGAACCCATCACGTCAGTGTAATGGGGAATCCATCATGTCAGTGTAATGGGGAACCCATCACATCAGTGTAATGGGGAACCCATCACGTCAATGTAATGGGGAACCCATCAAGTTAGGCACAGTGTCTACCTACTGAGGCACAGTGTCTACCTACTGAGGCACAGTGTCTAGCTCTTATACGATGCTATATAGATTATTCTTGTTCTTCATGGTATTCTGGTTCAACCAAAAAAAAAAAAAATGACAGACTACAAATTATCCAGAACATAATGAGATTCATCTTAGGCCCAAAAGAGAGCATAGGCCTACAGAATTACAACAACTGGATATACTGACTCTTGAAGACAGTTAAATCATGTTTATAAAATTGCTTTCATGCCTAACAATATTTTATTACACATCGACTACATTATTTTTGCCCTGCGTAAAAATTAAAATTTGAATTTGACAAAAATACGCAGCTAGGTATCCAGGGTTTGTTTTGAGTCGCTGTTTTAATGCACTTTTCTCCTTCATTAAACAAAATTATTAACTAAGAAATTATGTTACATCACCTTTATGCTTCACCTGTTCTTATTTCTCACTTATCTTGAATTATTCAATGTATGTAAAGCACTAAATCCACATGGGTTATTGAGAGCAAGGAGTGTTGCAGACTCAATCATTAATTCATCCTCTGAGGACAACATGGATACATTTTAATATACTCTAGGTAATTCAATTGTTTTAAGACAAACTATACACCTTATAAACCAGGAAACGGATGGGTTTTGAACCTGTAACAAGTGAGTCCTAATACAGCAAGTCCTTGACTTGCACATTGCCAATCTTCTGTATTGTTTATCGTATCATTATTATACACAATAATGTATAATAACGTATAATAATTGTGTATAATATCATTATTATACATTATTGCATATAATATCATTATTATACAGAAGGTCCTCAATGTGTTTGTAAGTTGAAGAATTAACGTACACACAGGCCAGTGTGTTAACACATTGGCCAGTGTGTTAACACATTGGCCAGTGTGTTAACACACTGGCCTGTGTGTATTATGACACTTGCCATGAGTTTAAAACCCTACTTGTTCCATAATTTATTAACAGTCGTGCTACTATGATTTCGTGAATCATACATCTCATATCTTGTAACACACTAAACCCAAAAATGGATTAAAAAAAGTTTATTACAATACATGCTTCTTGTCTTCCAGATTCAAAAATAATTTTAACACATTGAAAAAGTTACATTTATAAAGAGTAGACAATACGTACACTTGTGTTCGTCTTCCAGTGTACACTTGTGTTCATCTTCCAGTGTACACTGAGTTTACATTTATCCCAATCTTACAGTATAGTATACACTGAGGCATTTGTCTCTCCGTGTATTCCGAGTGTACATTAATTCCTCTCACAGTATATACACACTGAGAGGTATTCCTCTCACAGGATATATACACTGAGAGGTATTCCTCTTACAGGATATATACACTGAGAGGTATTCCTCTTACAGGATATATACACTGAGAGGTAGTAGTCTCAGTGCATATATCTCACAGGACATATGCACTGAGATGTATTCTTCCCACAGTATATATACACAGATATTCCTCTCAGTATATATACAGTGAGGTATTCCTCTCACAGTATATATACACTGAGGTTATTATCTCTCAGTATATGCCGAGTATACAGTAGAAGTTAAAGCATCCTTGACCGGCCATACGCAGCCTCTCGGGTAAAACATCTTGCAACAGAATAAGCTTATGGAGGAAATACACAGGTTACAAAAGTATTAACTGGGGAAACACGTCACTCTGATAAAGCTCTCAGTCTTGAGGTCGGGGAACTGGGGTAAATTACCCCAAATGGGGTAAAAATGAAAATCACGAGGAAAACAAAGGTTCAGTGAACATAAAACTGCAGTTTATATTTCATTTTATTTTCTAATTTTGTATTTATTTTTAAAGTTGCTTTTTTGCTTGTATGATTGTATTCTCCATACAAATGGACACTATAAACTATTTTGAATTCGAGTTCTGTTTGTGTTTTCTGGATTCTGTAGACTTTAAAGTCTAGTGGGGAATTTCGCTCTCCATAAACTTGTTTTGGGGTAATACCCCAAAAAAGTTCACCGACCTCTGCTATACACAGAGCAAACCATTTCACTATGATAAAACTCTATACAGAGCAACACATTTCCCCAATGGAAGATTCTTCAGCGAGTTTCATGGATCCATAGCATGGACATTATTATATATAAAAAATGCTTGTCTTAGAGTGAAAGTCATCCCATTAAGCGTACATTCTAGCAGAGTACGTTCTGTCACTCATTGGTACTCACATCAACCAATATGCAGCCTTAATGACCCTCGTGTGGTTGATAAACATTAACCTGATAAACCAACCAGCCAACCAATCATAAAAAATAACACATTACCTGGCGCTTATGCAACTGCACAACTCAAAAAAAATAACAGGTGGTCCTTGACTTACAATGGTGTTATGATCGTCCTAAGTTAAAAATATTGTAAGTCAAATATGAATATGAGATGATAAATAAATAAATACCTACTGTCAATGAATAGGTAAACAAATAATTACACTAAATACCAGTATTGAAAATTAAATAAATAGATACAAATCTGGTTCATACAGCTGCTATGGTCAGTGACCCCAAATGTTAACCCTTAAACTTCCCAAACGTAGATCTACGTTTGTGCGCGTAGTGCTCCGACCTTAATTTTCTCCATAAGAAACAATGTAAAATGTAGATCTACGTTCAGAGCGCTACGCGTGCAAATGTAGATCTACGTTTAGACAGTTTAAGGGTTAAGCAAGAAGCCAGCGGTGGAAGAGATCATTTTTTCCTTATCGAATGCATCTAAAATGCCTGTTAATGTGTTTACAATATTATGTATTGAGTGCTCAATACAGCTAGGCATAAAAATTCAAATAAATACACTGTCCATACAAAACCTACCAAAAATATGGCGCCAGTCCTTCCCTTATGCAACTGTTGTATGAAAACGGTAATAATGGAGGAAAAGTGATAAAAGCATCGAGCATAATGAATAATAACTCCAGTGAAAGAAAATGAAAAGATAGAACACCAGAAAGTGAGAGCTGTATGTGCAGGGCCCTCCTTTATGTCCAGGGCCCTCCTGTACGTCCAGGGCCCTCCTGCACATGCAGGGCCCTCCTGTACTTGCAGGGCCCTCCTGTACTTGCAGGGCCCTCCTGTACTTGCAGGGCCCTCCTGTACTTGCAGGGCCCTCCTGTACATGCAGGGCTCTCCTGTACATGCAGGGCCCTCCTGTACGTGTAGGGCTCTCCTGTACATGCAGGGCCCTCCTGTACGTGCAGGGCCCTCCTGTACGTGCAGGGCTCTCCTGTACGTGCAGGGCTCTCCTGTACGTGCAGGGCTCTCCTGTACGTGCAGGGCCCTCCTGTACGTGCAGGGCTCTCCTGTACATGCAGGGCCCTCCTGTACGTGCAGGGCCCTCCTGTACGTCCAGGGCCCTCCCGTACGTCCAGGGCCCTCCTGCACAAGTTTATCCTATCAATAATTGTACAGTACTGAATGCGCATCACTATTACATCATCGTAAAGTTGAAACATCATAAGTCGGACCATTATAAAGCAAGGAACACCTGTGTGTAAACAACTACCTTCTGTTTTTATTATCACATTCTTTACTATATAATAATGAAACTTTTCAAGTTTCTTGAGTGTAAGCGTATCACAGAGTTAATAAACAGGAAGCTTATCAGCTGTATCTGTTGCAATGTTGCTCATTCTTGAGTGGTTTCATGCAGTGCAACATATGATAGAGTTGCTTCTCAGAAACCACAATACAGTATGTAAAGTAAAAGGACACAAGTGCAACTAATGTGACATTTATTGTGGCAATGTTTCGCTCTCCAGGAGCTTTATCAAGCTTGATAAAGCTCCTGGAGAGCGAAACGTTGCCACAATAAATGTCACATTAGTTGCACTTGTGTCCTTTTACTTTACATATTGTCGGTAATTCTACCAACTTTATTACACAATACAGTAGAACCTTTGTATCTGCGGATTAAGTTTCCATGGTTTATCATGGCCCAAAAATAATCCTTAATTTTGCTTAATAATGACCCTAAAGCACAATAGTAGTGATGGTGGCAGGACTTCAAAGCCTAAGAGAAGCCTTGAAGTGTTTCCCATCAGCGAAAAAGTGAATTCTCGACTCACTGTGCATAATTTATCAATTAAACTCTCGTAGCTATGAAAATCAACAACTTATATAAATAGGGTTCACTACTATCACTGTTTTGGGAAACCAAGGTCGGTCTTGGAACGTATCGCACGCAAATACCAGGCCACTACTGTAGATCCGTCCTCTAAACTTTTTCCATACACAATACGATGTAGGAGCTTTTTACATGACCTAAACAGCAACAACAATTATACTATGTTAGGTTAATGTAACATAAATTAACCTATGTTTACACATCGTTAACCACCAATTAGAAAATGTACAAAAGGGTTTTGTTAACGAACACAAGACACACTATCAATGCATAACTTTCTTGCATTGTATTTCATGAAGTGGTAAATCTAGGTGAGTCATGCAACACAAATGTTAAGGTTCAGTCCTCCATTAGACCTCTGGCTATCTTCAAGACCCCCTGGTTGTCTTCAAGACCCCCTGGTTGTCTTTAAGACCCCTGGTTGTCTTCAAGACCCCTGGTTATCTTCAAGACTCCTGGTTGTCTTCAAGACCCCCTGGTTGTCTTCAAGACCCCCTGGTTGTCTTCAAGACCCCTGGTTGTCCTCAAGAGGGAGCTGGACAGACACACAGTACCTGACCAGCCAGGCTGTGGTTCCTACACTGGTTTATGTGCTGCCAGCAGTAACAACCTGGTTGATCAGGTCCTGATCCACCACCAGGCCTGGGCCACAGAAGCCTTGACCCCCTGAGCCTCCTCCAGGGGCTCAGGGGGTCAGACCTTTCACAGCAGTGAGAAGCACTCAACAACTTTATCCATTACATCAGTTTCAAATAGCAATAATCGTACCTCGGATAAACCTCACTGGTTACGATAATGCCACTGTGCTAAGCTTCCATTACATACATGTCGCAGTTGTCACTCGGCATAAAAACATTAATATTATTCAAAAAATTATTTTCAACATATTGGCCATTTCCCATCAAGGCAGGTGACCCAAAAAAGAAGAAACACTTGCACCATCACTCACTCCATGACTGTCTTTCTAGAGGCCACGACTCAAGTTTTATGTAATAATATGTCCAAATATACTTAGCATCTCGACCTTACATAGCACAAAGTATTACTGAATATTGAAGATTACAGAACTTGGCTCACATCGTCACATCACATTCAGTTTATGTTAAAAATACTGTATTAACATCAATTAATGTTGGCATATTATTTGAGCAAAGTCACGGCAAGAAAATGTTTGTTCGAAATAACTTAAAAATAACAATGGTAAAAAACATAAGCATTTTAGAGATTGAAGTCCATGAATTAATATTCTTAATCGCCTTTAACCGAAAAGAACAGTTGTTGGATGCCGATGGTGAGCGACTCTGTGGATGAGGAAGGAATATATGATTAGAGTTTGTAACAAGATCACACTATTACAATAAATAATAATAATTATAATATAATAATAATCTTCATTTCTACAAGGACAGTGGACCCCCGCCTTATGATATTATTTCATTCCAGAAGTCTGTTCGGGTGCCGTTACCGACCGAATTTGTTCCCATAAGGAATATTGTGAATTAGATTAGTCTGTTTCAGACCCCCAAAAATACACGTACAAAGGCACTTACAAAAATACACTTACATAACTGGTCGAGTTGGGAGCTGATCGTAAGGCGGGGATCCACTGTACATATACAAGGTATACAGACTATAGCTGACATCAATGACATACAACTACGTATATAGAAAGCCTCTTGTTAGGCTGAGCATTTCTTGCAAATTAGGTCAATTTTGTCCCCAGGATGAGACACCATTAGGTACTTACTGCTAGGTGAACAGTGACAGCAGGTGTAAGGTGACTAACACCCAGGTACCTACTTACTGCTCAGCTCCTCGGTTCAACTTGCAGGCCTGTCCCAAAACTGCATATGAAAAGGTATTCCCTAAAATACCTTTTTCAGAATTCATTCTGAATATGTTTTAATTCATTTAAATTCCATTCTGAATTCTGATGCTTATATACCTTTTATATACCTTTGAGGAGTTTCGAGAGTCTTCTCCCAAAGCCCGGCCATAGGCCAGGCTCATTTTTATTGACCAGTAATAAAGATACTGTAACAGATTAAACTTTTAATGGGCCATATTGCTCTAAGTAATCCCAACTATTTTTTAAGTTTAAAAAATTTTCATTATTTTTTATTTTCATAAGAGGATATTGTAACAACACAATTGCAAACAGATCAGGGAATGGGTGGGGTTTGAACTCATGGCAAGTAGCCACCTGGCCCAGTCATAAACACACTGGCCTGGAGTTCAACAACTCACCATGGGTTCAACCCTTACTCTTTCTGTGTTGTCAAAACACGACACCGTACACAATGGTATTGTATATTTACCGAGCGCCCTTTTGACGAACTGTGGCTTATTCTGCCAGTAGATAAATAGGAAATATGCAGGGATGCCCGAAGCTGTGATGAGGATACCCATGCCCACTTCAAGAGGTCGAACATAGAGCGGAAGAAACACCAGGAAGCCGCAGATCAGCAGGAAAATAATCGGAATGATAATGTTGATCTGTAGGTAATAAAAAATTAATTATTTGAAAAGAACTTTGCAGTTTTTTTTTACCCAAATTTTCTCCAATTTTGTTTTATACTAATCACATCCTTCTGGCTCTAGTATATCACTTCAATTTATGTTTAATTTTGAATATTAAAGTATACATTGTATGTTTTTTTTTTTTCACCGAACCAGCTGTATCCCACTGAGACAAGGTGACCTAAAAAGATGAACAAAAGTTTTTCTTTTTAAATTTAGTAATTTATACAGGAGGAGGAGGCCTGGTCACAGACCGGGCCGCGGGGGCGTTGACCCCCGGAACTCTCTCCAGGTAAACTCCAGGAGAAGGTGTGAAATATTACTAAAATCTAAAGGAGAAACATTAGCACATTTCCTTTGATGCTTTTTTGTTTTATTTACTTCTCCGAGGCTATACAGGACAGGTTTATTTACTTCTCCGAGGCTATACAAGACAGGTTTATTTAAGAACATAAGAACATAAGAACGAAGGAACACTGCAGAAGGCCTACTGGCCCATGCGAGGCAGGTCCAAGTCTCCTACCGGCTTAAGCCAATGCACCCAACCTAGTCAGGTCAGGTCACATTGACTTAAGGGAGGAACACGGCAACCGACCTGGTAGCACAAGCTATCAGGTCTAACTCACACCCACCCACATCTACTCATGTATTTATCAAACCTATTTTTAAAGCTACACAACGTTCTGGCCTCTATAACGGTACTTGGGAGTTTGTTCCACTCATCCACAACTCTATTACCAAACCAGTACTTTCCTATATCCTTCCTGAATCTGAATTTTCCAACTTAAAACCATTGCTGCGAGTCCTGTCTAGGCTAGATATTTTCAGCACACTATTTACATCCCTCTTATTTATTCCTGTCTTCCATTTATACACCTCAATCATATCCCCCCTAATTCTACGTCTTTCTAGAGAGTGCAGTTTCAGGGCCCTTAGTCTATCCTCATAGGGAAGGTTTCTGATACATGGGATCATCTTTGTCATCCTCCTTTGTACATTTTCCAGAGAATTTATATCCATTCTGTAATACGGTGACCAAAACTGTGCAGCATAATCTAAATGAGGCCTAATCAAGGATGTATAGAGTTGAAGAACAACCTGAGGACTCCTATTATTTATGCTTCTTGATATGAAGCCAAGGATTCTATTAGCTTTATTGCGAACACTTATGCACTGTTGTCTTGGTTTCAGATTACTGCTAACCAGAACTCCTAAATCTTTTTCGCAATCCGTAATATTAAGATCTACATTATTTAGTTTATATGTGGCATGGTTATTGTCCTGTCCAACATTTAGAACTTTGCATTTGTCTATATTAAACTGCATCTGCCACTTCTCCGACCACTGCATCAGTCTATTCAAATCTTCCTGGAGTGCTCGAATGTCCTCGTCAGAATGAATTCGACGGCCTATTTTGGTGTCATCGGCAAACTTGCCGATGTCGCTCTTTATGCCCTCATCTATGTCGTTTATGTAGATTGTGAACAGCAGGGGGCCCAACACTGACCCCTGTGGAACACCGCTCGTGACGCTTCCCCACTCTGATTTCTCCCCATTTATGCAAACTCTCTGCTGCCTATTTGTCAACCATGCCTCTATCCAGGAAAAAATTTCTCCTCCTATTCCATGTGCTTTAATTTTCCTCAATAGTCTCTGATGTGGGACCCTGTCAAAAGCCTTACTGAAGTCCATATACACAATATCATATTCATTACCATGATCTACCTCCTCAATATACCTTAGTGAAAAAAGTTAATAAATTCGTAAGGCAGGAACGCCCCTTTGTAAAACCATGCTGAGATTCGTTGATTAATTTATGCTTTTCAAGATGGCTACGAACTGCCTCGGCAATTATTGATTCCATAAATTTTCCCACTATGGAGGTTAGGCTTATTGGTCTATAGTTCGAAGCTAAGGACCTGTCACCTGTTTTGAAAATAGGTATCACATTTGCCATTTTCCACTTATCTGGCACCATGCCAGTTTGTAGTGATATGTTGAAAAGATTAGCCAAAGGTGTGCTAAGCTCCTCTTTACATTCCTTTAGAACCCTTGCATACAGTTCATCAGGGCCTGGGGATTTGTTAGGTTTTAATTTATCTATTTACTTCTCCAAGGCTATACAAGACAGGTTTATTTACTTCTCCGAGGCTATACAAGACAGGTTTATTTACTTCTCCGAGGCTATACAAGACAGGTTTATTTACTTCTCCAAGGCTATACAAGACAGGTTTATTTACTTCTCCGAGGCTATACAAGACAGGTTTATTTACTTCTCCGAGGCTATACAAGACAGGTTTATTTACTTCTCCGAGGCTATACAAGACAGGTTTATTTACTTCTCCAAGGCTATACAAGACAGGTTTATTTACTTCTCCGAGGCTATACAAGACAGGTTTATTTACTTCTCCGAGGCTATACAGGACAGGTTTATTTACTTCTCCGAGGCTATACAGGACAGATTTATTTACTTCTCTGAGGCTATACAAGACAGGTTTATTTACTTCTCCGACACTATACAAGACGGGTTTATTTACTTCTCCGACACTATACAAGACAGGTTTATTTACTTCTCCGACAACATACAAGACAGGTTTATTTACTTCTCCGACACTATACAAGACGGGTTTATTTACTTCTCCGACACTATACAAGACGGGTTTATTTACTTCTCCGACACTATACAAGACAGGTTTATTTACTTCTCCGACACTATACAAGACAGGTTTATTTACTTCTCCGACACTATACAAGACAGGTTTATTTACTTCTCCGACACTATACAAGACGGGTTTATTTACTTCTCCGACACTATACAAGACAGGTTTATTTACTTCTCCGACACTATACAAGACAGGTTTATTTACTTCTCCGAGGCTATACAAGACGGGTTTATTTACACATGATGCGTTGTTTATACAGCAATGAGTGACACTTGAGAACACATTGAAAGCCTGTGGTTATGTAGGGTATTTTTGGCAAGCTTAGGCCTATTTTAAGCCTACAAGAGCATATTACTGTACATGATTATAAGTTATAGTCTAGCAAGATTATACGTACTATTTATTACATTAGTTGACATTATAGGTACTATCTCTTACATCAGATAACATTATAGGTACTATCTCTTATATCAGATAACATTATAGGTACTATCTCTTACATCAGATAACATTATAGGTACTATCTCTTACATCAGATAACATTATAGGTACTATCTCTTACATCAGATAACATTATAGGTACTATCTCTTACATCAGATAACATTATAGGTTCTATCTCTTACATCAGATAACATTATAGGTACTATCTCTTACATCAGATAACATTATAGGTACTATCTCTTACATCAGATAACATTATAGGTACTATCTCTTACATCAGATAACATTATAGGTACTATCTCTTACATCAGATAACATTATAGGTACTATCTCTTACATCAGATAACATTATAGGTACTATCTCTTACATCAGATAACATTATAGGTACTATCTCTTACATCAGATAACATTATAGGTAGTATCTCTTACATCAGATAACATTATAGGTACTATCTCTTACATCAGATAACATTATAGGTACTATCTCTTACATCAGATAACATTATAGGTACTATCTCTTACATCAGATAACATTATAGGTACTATCTCTTATATCAGATAACATTATAGGTACTATCTCTTACATCAGATAACATTATAGGTACTATCTCTTATATCAGATAACATTATAGGTACTATCTCTTACATCAGATAACATTATAGGTAGTATCTCTTACATCAGATAACATTATAGGTACTATCTCTTACATCAGATAACATTATAGGTACTATCTCTTACATCAGATAACATTATAGGTACTATCTCTTACATCAGATAAATTATAGGTACTATCTCTTACATCAGATAACATTATAGGTACTATCTCTTACATCAGATAACATTATAGGTACTATCTCTTACATCAGATAACATTATAGGTACTATCTCTTACATCAGATAACATTATAGGTACTATCTCTTACATCAGATAACATTTAGGTACTATCTCTTACATCAGATAACATTAGGTACTATCTCTTACATCAGATAACATTATAGGTACTATCTCTTACATCAGATAACATTATAGGTACTATCTCTTACATCAGATAACATTATAGGTACTATCTCTTACATCAGATAACATTATAGGTACTATCTCTTACATCAGATAACATTATAGGTACTATCTCTTACATCAGATAACATTATAGGTACTATCTCTTACATCAGATAACATTATAGGTACTATCTCTTACATCAGATAACATTATAGGTACTATCTCTTACATCAGATAACATTATAGGTACTATCTCTTACATCAGATAACATTATAGGTACTATCTCTTACATCAGATAACATTATAGGTACTATCTCTTACATCAGATAACATTATAGGTACTATCTCTTACATCAGATAACATTATAGGTACTATCTCTTACATCAGATAACATTATAGGTACTATCTCTTACATCAGATAACATTATAGGTACTATCTCTTACATCAGATAACATTATAGGTACTATCTCTTACATCAGATAACATAGGTACTATCTCTTACATCAGATAACATTATAGGTACTATCTCTTACATCAGATAACATTATAGGTACTATCTCTTACATCAGATAACATTATAGGTACTATCTCTTACATCAGATAACATTATAGGTACTATCTCTTACATCAGATAACATTATAGGTACTATCTCTTACATCAGATAACATTATAGGTACTATCTCTTACATCAGATAACATTATAGGTACTATCTCTTACATCAGATAACATTATAGGTACTATCTCTTACATCAGATAACATTATAGGTACTATCTCTTACATCAGATAACATTATAGGTACTATCTCTTACATCAGATAACATTATAGGTACTATCTCTTACATCAGATAACATTATAGGTACTATCTCTTACATCAGATAACATTATAGGTACTATCTCTTACATCAGATAACATTATAGGTACTATCTCTTACATCAGATAACATTATAGGTACTATCTCTTACATCAGATAACATTATAGGTACTATCTCTTACATCAGATAACATTATAGGTACTATCTCTTACATCAGATAACATTATAGGTACTATCTCTTACATCAGATAACATTATAGGTACTATCTCTTACATCAGATAACATTATAGGTACTATCTCTTACATCAGATAACATTATAGGTACTATCTCTTACATCAGATAACATTATAGGTACTATCTCTTACATCAGATAACATTATAGGTACTATCTCTTACATCAGATAACATTATAGGTACTATCTCTTACATCAGATAACATTATAGGTACTATCTCTTACATCAGATAACATTATAGGTACTATCTCTTACATCAGATAACATTATAGGTACTCTCTCTTACATCAGATAACATTATAGGTACTATCTCTTACATCAGATAACATTATAGGTACTCTCTCTTACATCAGATAACATTATAGGTACTATCTCTTACATCAGATAACATTATAGGTACTATCTCTTACATCAGATAACATTATAGGTACTATCTCTTACATCAGATAACATTATAGGTACTATCTCTTACATCAGATAACATTATAGGTACTATCTCTTACATCAGATAACATTATAGGTACTATCTCTTACATCAGATAACATTATAGGTACTATCTCTTACATCAGATAACATTATAGGTACTATCTCTTACATCAGATAACATTATAGGTACTATCTCTTACATCAGATAACATTATAGGTACTATCTCTTACATCAGATAACATTATAGGTACTATCTCTTACATCAGATAACATTATAGGTACTATCTCTTACATCAGATAACATTATAGGTACTATCTCTTACATCAGATAACATTATAGGTACTATCTCTTACATCAGATAACATTATAGGTACTATCTCTTACATCAGATAACATTATAGGTACTATCTCTTACATCAGATAACATTATAGGTACTATCTCTTACATCAGATAACATTATAGGTACTATCTCTTATATCAGATAACATTATAGGTACTATCTCTTACATCAGATAACATTATAGGTACTATCTCTTACATCAGATAACATTATAGGTACTATCTCTTATATCAGATAACATTATAGGTACTATCTCTTACATCAGATAACATTATAGGTACTATCTCTTATATCAGATAACATTATAGGTACTATCTCTTACATCAGATAACATTATAGGTACTATCTCTTACATCAGATAACATTATAGGTACTATCTCTTACATCAGATAACATTATAGGTACTATCTCTTACATCAGATAACATTATAGGTACTATCTCTTACATCAGATAACATTATAGGTACTATCTCTTATATCAGATAACATTATAGGTACTATCTCTTACATCAGATAACATTATAGGTACTATCTCTTACATCAGATAACATTATAGGTACTATCTCTTATATCAGATAACATTATAGGTACTATCTCTTACATCAGATAACATTATAGGTACTATCTCTTATATCAGATAACATTATAGGTACTATCTCTTACATCAGATAACATTATAGGTACTATCTCTTACATCAGATAACATTATAGGTACTATCTCTTACATCAGATAACATTATAGGTACTATCTCTTACATCAGATAACATTATAGGTACTATCTCTTATATCGTCATCCCACACACCCACATATACAGCTGGATCCTGTCTGTATATTATACACTTTTTTTTTCCAGTATAAGGTTGTCATCACAAGTGCTGTATATAATTTTCCTAGCATCAGTCTGTATGCTAATTCAAGAGATCATTGACTATCTAGCGATGTATTACTCGATTTTCAATTTAATAGTCTGTGTATAAAAAACTTACCACAGGTGGGGTTAGAACCTGCGTTCAGAGAGTCTTAAAACTCCAGACCGACACGTTAGCCATTACGTGTCATTACAATTTCATGAGTCTAGTCTGCGTATAGTTCTTAGAAGGCTTTGAGAATTAGGATTAGCCAGCCAAAAATGCATTGTATACAAGTGATTTTATTTTGTATTTAACTATTTAACAATGTTTTATTATAAATAATAATAATAATAAATATTTATTTCGTTGCAAATCTCACAATGTGTAGTTTACATGTTTTAAAATGTTAATTACAAGGAAGGCCTCTAGCATGCCTAGGCATTTTGGGCAGACTAATACTAATTCTTGCTCTAAATTGACACAGGTTATGGAGCAGTACAGTTATATGTAAACTACATTAGTGAGTATAGTTTTACCAATGCTCTTATATGGGTGTGAAGCATGGGTGATGAATGTTGCAGCGAGGAGAAGGCTGGAGGCAGTGGAGATGTCATGTCCGAGGGCAATGTGTGGTGTGAATATAATGCAGAGAATTCGTAGTTTGGAAGTTAGGAGGAGGTGCGGGATTACCAAAACTGTTGTCCAGAGGGCTGAGGAAGGGTTGTTGAGGTGGTTCGGACATGTGGAGAGAATGGAGCGAAACAGAATGACTTCAAGAGTGTATCAGTCTGTAATGGAAGGAAGGTGGGGTAGGGGTTGGCCTAGGAAAGGTTGGAGGGAGGGGGTAAAGGAGGTTTTGTGTGCGAGGGGCTTGGACTTCCAGCAGGCATGCGTGAGCATGTTTGATAGGAGTGAATGGAGACAAATGGTTTTTAATACTTGACGTGCTGTTGGAGTGTGAGCAAAGTAACATTTATGAAGGGGTTCAGGGAAACCGGCAGGCCGGACTTGAGTCCTGGAGATGGGAAGTACAGTGCCTGCACTCTGAAGGAGGGGTGTTAATGTTGCAGTTTAAAAACTGTAGTGTAAAGCACCCTTCTGGCAAGACAGTGATGGAGTGAATGATGGTGAAAGTTTTTCTTTTTCGGGCCACCCTGCCTTGGTGGGAATCGGCCAGTGTGATAATAATAATAAAAATTAGTGATGAACAAAAAGGCAGAATACCATGACTGGAATAATACACAAATAACTTGCACAGAGGAGAAAGAATCTTAAGACAATATTTTGGTCCAGTTTAGGCCATTAATTAGTGACACACACTTACTACTTAATGGTACAAGTCATACCAAATATTTGTCAAAAGTTTCTTTCTCCTATGTGCGAGTTATTTGTGTATTGTTCCAGTATATGTACTGCATAAAGAAATCAAAATTCTATTGTACATTAACCCTTTCAGGGTTTCCGACGTACTAGTATGGCTTACGCACCAGGGTTATTGACGTACTAGTACACCTAAATTCTAGCTCCTTCAAATCTAGCAGGAGAAAGCTGGTAGGCCTACATATGACAGAATGGGTCTATGTGGTCAATGTGTGCAGTATAAAAAAAATCCTGCAGCACAGTGCATAATGAGAACCATGTTTTTGGTTTAAAACAGCGACTTTGCAGTGTATTTTCGTATGGTATTTATGGTTGTATTCTAGTTTTCCTGGTCTCATTTTATAGAATGGAAGACATATTACAGAAATTGAGATGATTTTGACTGGTTTCACAATGAAAAGTAACTTGAAATTGAGCTCAAAGTAGCAGAAATGTTCGATTTTTGCCAAAGTTCAAAAGTAAACAAATCATGCTATGCGTCCAATACATATCAACTGGTGAGTCTAATATTCTTTCACAAGTGTGCCAATATTATTTATACCATTTCTACACTAATGCAGTAGTCTGCATAACAGTAAATCTTCTATTTTTTGTGAGAATAATAATTCAAAGTCGAAAGCAAAAGAAATGTAAGAGGAGCATGGGGATGTGACTAATGAACAGAGGAAATGTTATTTTAGTGCCAGGAATGTCTGTCTTGTTTATTCTGGACCCTATTTGGAAATTGGCATCTTTTGAAATTTGTGTGAAATTGGCAAAATTGCTAATTTCTGACCACTTTATTGGATAGTTGAAATCGGTAAACAGGCAGTTTCTTGTACTCATTTGATAGAAAAAATGGAGTTCTAGCAAAATAGTTATGATTTTTGTTGACTAGTACACTGGAATTGGCCGAAAATAGGGCTCAATGTGGGCGAAATCATCGATGCATAAACATCGTCAAGACCGCTAACTTCGTGAGAACATAATTCCATAAGTTTTCCATCAAATTTCATACTTTTGGTGTCATTATGAGTGGGAAAAGATTCTCTATCTTTTCATAAGAAAAAATCAATCATTTTTTTTTTTTTCAAAAAAATTTTCGACCCTGAGAACAAGTTTAGGAGAGGGCCTCTCGACCCTGAAAGGGTTAAACAATCAACAGAAATCAACAATATTCAACAATAACCAAACAGTTAAACACCAACTTACTTTGATAGGTCTTTTCATATCAGGTTGTCTCCACCTCAAGAACAATAGTCCCGCTATGCTGCACAGGATAAACATACTCTCCACAAAACTAGCATATTCGATCAGGCTGTAGATGTTCGTTGTACACAAGTACACCAACGATAGAAGACCCTGAGAACATAAAAGTCGCAATTAGTAATGAGATATTTGTGCATCAGTGGAAATTGTCCCATAGTAGACAAGTATACACACCACAAGTATACACAAGCATATACACAAGTATACACAAGCATATACACAAGTATACACACAAGTATACACACCACCACACCACCCTAATACCTCCAGGATTAGGAGCGTCAGAAGCAACTTTAGTCCACAGTGATTAAAAATTTTGGGTCTACTGTATAAGAAGGGTTTTTTAAAAAATAATACAGTGGACCCCCTACTAACGATATTTGTTGGTACCCGAGAATGATTATCGTTAGTCGAGTTTTTTTAACGTTAGTCAAGGCAGCATGTTAGAGTTAACGTATCGTTGGTCGAATTTAACGTTAGTCGATGCCATCATTGGTCGAGGGTCCACTGTATAGGGTAATTCAATACAAAATAATAGTTAAAATAATAATTGAAAGGTTATTAGGGTATCATGTAGGCCTATAACAGTTCCAGCTTTAGGGACCTCATAGCAGTCCAAGCTTCAGGGATCCATAACAGTCCAAGCATCAGGGACCCCATAACAGTTCCAGCTTCAGGGCCACAAAAATGTAGGTTCCCCTTTGACCACCACTGACATCTTGACCTATCCAGGATGCCACCTACAACAGTCACCTAACACCCAGGTACCTACTTACTGCTAGGTGAGCTGACTCAACCCCTGCAACCACAAATAAACGAGTAAATAGGCAAGTATATTAATGGGAAGGCGGCAATTAAATGAATGATGGTGAACAAGTTTCTTCTTTTTTGCGGGTCACTAGAGTGGCCTCTTACACCCTTATACTTTACTCCCTCACCTATACCTTAAATTTCAGTTTCACTTTCACCTGTCATTTACCTCATACCTCTCTCAGGAAAGACAGACGGAATGTCATTAAAAAATACAGTAGAACCCCCATATCCATGGATTCAGTTTCCAAGGTCTACCATGGCCCAAAAATAACCCTTAATTTTGCTTAATAATGACCCAATAGTAGCGACAGCAACAGCTTTTCAGAACCTAAGAGAAGCCGTGAAGCGCTTCCCATGTGTAATTTATGAATTAAACATTATCATAGGTATGTATATGAATGAAAAATGACATATATCGGATTCGCTACTTTCCACAGTTTCAGGCATACATGGTAGGACTTGGAACATATTCCTCGCAGATATGGAGGTCGTACTCACAAGAAACACCAGCGATGTGGTCGGAGTATTGCATTTGCAGTTGATTAATGCCAGGCAGTCTGGGAAGTGACCTTGACGAGCTCCGACGAAACACAACCTGACGGCAAGAAAAAGATATCAGTGTTGTAATAAGGTAAAATAATGAATAATTAAAATTTACCGCTCCATAACATATGTCTAGTTCTAAGTAGTGTATGAACATTAGGCCTAATCTGCCAGAAATGTTCAGGCATGTTAGTGGCTTTCTTTGTGGTTAACAATATTTTATAACATGTAAATCACACATTGTAAACTTTGCAGAAAAATAAAACTTTGAATCTGAGAAAATATTTTTAAACCCTACAAAGAAACGGCACCAACAAGCCCACACCCGGGTGACTGATGCACCAATAACAAATAACCCACACACAGGAGAATGAGACTAATGGCAATGTTTTGGTTTGACTCAGACTATTAATTAGACCCACACTTCACTCTTCTGCATCACTAATTAATGGTCCAAGTTGAACTGAGACACTGTCGTAAGTTTCAGTCTCCTATGTGTCAGTATTGACTACTTAATATATGATAGTGTAAACACATCATCATTTAAGATGCACTGGATTATGAAAAAATGCTCTTTACCACCCACTGGCAATTTCTGCTTACCATATAGGGTCAGGAACCTAAGAGCCATATAAACAAGGCCTCCTGTACAGAACATGAGATGTACATGTACGGTATACAGTAACGACAAGATGTGGAATTAGACACGCTTGCAGCATCTGGGTATCTTTATTTATAGACGTTTTGCCATCCAGTGGCTTTATCAATACAAATTCAAGGACATAATGTGAAGACTATAGAACTATATACACTGGAGGGTAAAAAGTCTACAAATAATGGTACCCTGATGTTGCATGCGTTTAATTTGTTAGAAAAAGTGACACTACATGTATTCCCTCTTTCATTGCATTTTAATCACCTGTGAGACCTATAGCTCACAGGGGACAAATTCTAACCAAATTTTTATAGAACTGTTTGGGAAACGTGAAGTGTTACTGTAGTACTGTCATGCCTCTGGCAAGACAGTGGCCGGGGAGGGACGGTGATAGTGTTTCATCGTTTTTGGATCACTCTAGGCCAGTGGGAAATGGCAAGTGTGTTAAAAAATAAATTTGAAAAGACAGCTAGGGAGTGAATAATGGTGAATGCGTTTTCTTGAGTTATCCTACCTTGGTGGGAAACAGATAATATACAAACAACTTCTACTGCTACTATTACTAATACTATCACTACTACTACTACTACTACTATTATCAAAACAGCAAGAGAATGAATGAGGATGAATGTGTTTCCGTCTTCAGGACATTCTACCTTAATAAGCAACATCCAATGGTATGAACGAATTTATTAACACATTGGCTGCCTCCCACCAAGGCAGGGCAGCCCAAAAAAGAAAAAACACTCATCATGACTCACTCCACCACTGTCTTGCCAGAGGTGTGCAGATACTGTAGTTCAAAAACTGGAATACATATCTCCAGCCATCATTTACATTAACATCCATGGGGAAGTGGAGAAGAATTCTTCCTCCATCAGCCATAAGATACTACAAAGACCACCATGGACATAAGTCACTTTCACTGACTTTTTTGGGTTATCTTGGTGGATAATTTACACTATGTATGTTAATTGTACTTATGTCTACCTCTACCTACATCAACTAACGTATTTACTTACTAAGAGGCAACCAAAATACCATCAGCAAGGTACTGGAGTATACCTGGAGAGAGTTTTGGGGGGTCAACGCCCCCGAGGCTCAGTCTAAGACCAGGCCTCATGGTGGATCAGGGTCTGATCAGCTAGGCTGTTACTGCTGGCCGCACGCAAACTGACGTATGAACCACAGCCCAGCTAGTCAGGTACTGACTTTAGGTGCCTGTCCACCTCCTGTATAAATTATTAAGTGTAAAAAGAAAAATTTTCGATACTTCTTTGTCAGGTTGCGCTGCCTTGTGGAGATGTGCATCAAAATAAAACTAACATGCCGTAATAAGACTAACCTTGAAGATGTCATAATGTGCACTGACAAACCACCGAAGGCCGACAGCGCCACCAAAATTGGCATTATCCAACTTCCTTGTGCCAGAAGCTTATCAGCAAAGGTCTGTCAAGAAGAGAAACTGTCAATATGATGCAGTACAACATGTAAACAAATTATATTTGTGGAAAAATTTATATACAGTGGAACCTTGAAAATCGAACGTACCAAATATCGAACGTTTCGAAAATAAGACCATTTTTTCGGACAAACTGTGTACCAAAAATCGAACGAATTTCAAATTTCGGACCGCCGGGTACGGGACCTGTCTGCTGGCCTGCTCTGTCCGCGTCCCCGTGCAGGCGCCGTGAGCAGTCTAGCTTTGTTTATGCTTGAGTGAACACTAACCTGAGCTCTCATTCACACATTTTACGATTATTTAATTATGTTTAGTGCTTGTGAGGCTGTGAAATAAGCTGCCATGGGCCCAAAGAAACTTGCTAGCGGTACCCCTGTGGTAAAGAAAGTGAGAAACACCATAGATGTGAAGAAGGAAATAATATAGAAGTATGAGACTGGAGTGAGACTTGTTGAGCTTGCCAGGATGTACAGAGGACTGTGGTCAGTTATTTTGTGAGACAGAAATAGACGACTGTGGACAGTTATTTTGTGAGACAGAAACAGATGACTGTGGAGTTTTGTGAGACAAACAGACGACTGTGGAGTTATTTTGTGAGACAGAAACAGATGACTGTGGAGTTATTTTGTGAGACAAACAGACGACTGTGGAATTATTTTGTGAGACAGAAACAGATGACTGTGGAGTTATTTTGTGAGACAGAAACAGACGACTGTAGACAGTTATTTTGTGAGACTGGGGTCCATTGACTCTCAAGCTGGTCCTAGTGGCATTAAAATACAGAGAAGGGAAGCAACCTCAGAGAGGGCTTTGATACCGGAAGTCCTCATGGAGGGAGATTCTCCTTCCAAACACTAACCCCAACTCCCTCTCTCCTCCTCCCTATCTTCCAGATGCCATCACCAATCTTCAATAAAGGCAAGTAAAAATTTTATTTTATATGTATTACTATACATAATTAAAAACTATAGTATTTGTTGTATGTAAAACTGTAATTAATCTCTATAAAATGTATTTTTTGTGTGAATATTTTTGGGTTACTGGAACGGATTAATTGTATTTCCATTATTTCTTATGGGAAATATTGCTTCGAATTTCAGACTTTTCAAAATTAGAACTAACTCCTGGAACGGATTAAGTTCGATTTTTGAGGTTCCACTGTAGTTTCTAATTGATTTAATCAGAATTGTAGTTTATTTTATATGAAGGAGAGAGTTTTGTTTGTGAGGCTGTGTATAACATGAAAAACAAAACACCAATAGGCTTATAGTTGAATGAACTAAAAGGCCTATGAACTCTTAAGCTGTGATAAACAACTACATTGGTACCTCGGGATATGAATTTATTTTGTTCCAAACGGCTGTTCAAGTGCCGATACTGAACAAATTTGTTCCTATAAAGAATAATGTAAATTAGATTATTCTGTTCCAGACCCCCAAAAATACACTTACAAAAGCACTTACATAAATACACTTACACAATTGTTCGAGTTTTGAGCTATTCGTATCCCGAGGTACCACTGTATAATGTTTGTATCCTGAGGTACCACTGTATAATGTTTGTATCCCGAGGTACCACTGTATAATGTTTGTATCCTGAGGTACCACTGTATCATGTTTGTATCCTGAGGTACCACTGTATAATGTTTGTATCCCGAGGTACCACTGTATAATGTTTGTATCCTGAGGTACCACTGTATAATGTTTGTATCCCGAGGTACCACTGTATAATGTTTGTATCCTGAGGTACCACTGTATCATGTTTGTATCCTGAGGTACCACTGTATAATGTTTGTATCCCGAGGTACCACTGTATAATGTTTGTATCCTGAGGTACCACTGTATAATGTTTGTATCCCGAGGTACCACTGTATAATGTTTGTATCCCGAGGTACCACTGTATTAGGGAATAAACAAAAGGTTTTATAATACTGTACTAATAATAATAATAATAATAATAATAATAATAATAATAATAATAATAATAATAATGATACATACCACAGCAATTGCATCCGAGGCTAACATAGCTGTTGGTGTAAGAACGGCCAGGTAAGCAATATTGGCTAATACATAGACCAGCGTCACCAGCGGCAGCGATATATATATGGCCCGAGGCAAGTTACTGAAAAATAATGAAATATATACTTTAAAGTATCTTGTGTAATCTAATTTTAAGTAAAGACACAATAAACTTAGGTTAAACTTAATAAAACCCAAAAACTGTACGTTTTTTTTCAGTGTTTCTAAGTTCTTTTGGATTAAATAAAAAGAGATACAGTACATTTGAATTCACTAGGCAGCAGTAAATATTTTGTATTGTGGTAATATAAATGAAAATACATAATAGGCCTACCTCTGAATTCCATAGGCAGTAGTAAATATGTGTATAGTGTTAATACAAATAAAAATTAAATACTAAACAACTATGCTACAATCTGAAGGTAAATCTTTACAAGACGATGCATGACCCTTGTAGGTTTAGCACTTGTTTATGGTTGTAATAATAACAGTTTACAAGACATTTCCGTCCAACCTCGACCACTGTCACTTTACGAGTACCAGCGATCCATCACTACTGAAACACTGACTAAGGATTCACTTTTAGTTTATGTTAGGTAAGGTAAAGTTAGTTTAGCAGAAACTCAACACGAAACAGTAAAACTCACACGAAAGGATTCTGCAACTCTTCCGTCATGAAATTGAGGTAGTTCCATCCAGCATATGAGAAAATGCCGGAGTAGAAGGAGACAGCAATCTGGCCAGGCTCAGTCGAGGTGCCCTCGAAGGCATTATCAAAGTTCTGTGTATTTCCTAACAGAAAAAATAAATCTTTCTTAAAAATAATTATAATAATAATTAATAATAATAAACCATACCACCGGCGGGATTTGAACCGGCGGTCAGAGTCTCAAAACTCCAGACCGTCGCATTAGTAATAATAATAATGTGCAGAAATCTGTATATCAAATATTGTCACCTTATTCATACAAACTCATACTCTCTGGTCTGTTGTATAGTGTATTTCTTTCAGTAAATATACAAATACAGAAATAAAAAATCACAATACAGTGACTGAATTAATCCATAATAAATCTCATGTTGCAAAATGAAATTAATGATGATGTTTTTGATCAAACTTAGAGCAAGTTGGACTCAAACTTTACAAGTTCATTCTTGTATGTACATGTTATCTTTTTATTATACCAGTACTCTAGACTGCTATCTGTGTATTATACCAGTACTCTAGACTGTTATCTGTGTATTATACCAGTACTCTAGACTCTTATCTGTGTATTATACCAGTGCTCTAGACTGTTATCTGTGTACTATACTAGTACTCTAGACTGTTATCTGTGTACTATACCAGTACTCTAGACTGTTATCTGTGTACTATACCAGTACTCTAGACTGTTATCTGTGTATTATACCAATACTCTACACTGTTATCTGTGTATTATACCAGTACTCTAGACTGTTATCTGTGTACTATACCAGTACTCTAGACTGTTATCTGTGTACTCTACCAGTACTCTAGACTGTTATATATGGTTCAGAAACTTCGTATCATAGCAATTATTGTTTAGTACAAGAACACACTTGTAACTAGTGCAACGTTTTGTTGTGGCAATGTTTCACTCTCCAGGAGCCTGACACAGCTCCTGGCAGAAACATTGTCACTATGGCAATGTTTCACTCTCCAGGAGCCTGACACAGCTCCTGGCAGAAACATTGCCACTAAAATGTCATTAGTCACATCTGTGACCTTTTACCAGACATTCTGTCGGTAATTCTACCATTATCTGAAATACTCCACATAATTATGGGCTTTCAACATTCACCTCAATATTACCATTTTCTTTTTTAGCACACTGGCCGTTTCCCACCAAGTGAATGTGACCCGAAAAGGAAGAAACACTTCCATCATCATTCACTCCATCACTGTCTTGCAGAGGTTCCCACCTTCAGTGCAGGCACTGTACTTCCCACCTCCAGGACTCAAGTCTGGATAACCTGAATCCCTTCATGTTACCTTGTTCTCACTCCAACAGCACGTCAAGTCCTAAAAGCCATTTGTCTCTATTCACTCCTATCTAACATGTTCATGCATGCTTACTGGAAGTTCAAGCCCCTCACACACAAAACCTCCTATACCCCCTCCCTCCAACCTTTCCCAGGATGACCCCTACCCTGCCTTCCCTCCACTACAGATTTACGCACTTTTCCAAATCATCCTATTTTGCTCCATCCTCTCAAAATGTCCAAACAACTTCAACAACCCCTCCTCAGCACCACCTCAACAACCCCTCCTCAGCACCACCTCAAGAAACCCCCTCAGTCCTCTGAATAATACGTTCAGTAACCGCGCACCGCCTTCCAGTCTCCAAGCTACAGATTCTCTGCATTTGTATTTGTAATAACAAGTACCGAACTTAAACAAATTACTGAATTTGTAACAGAAAATACTGAACTTACCCATAAATAAGTGGACCATACCAGCAACAATAACAATTAGAAGAGCACCGATCTTGGTCACCATGAAGACATCTTGAAGTTTGGTCGTTACCCGAACATTCCAGCAATTGATGAATGTTAAGAATGCTGTTCGAGATCAACATTCATACATTAGAAATCTGTTGTAGGTCATTCTTATTATTACTACTGTAACCTCTCTTATAAAACTATTGTCTATAGTGGGATTTTTTGTAGATAGTTTTTATAATGTGAATTTTTGTAAATGTAATTGAATGAAGGCTTATACTTTTTTTTTTTTTGTAAATAGGATTGAGTGAAGGTTTTTATTATTTTTTTCATAAATGTAATTGAATAAAGGTTTTTATTATGGTTTTTCTTTTGTATATATAATTAAATGAAGGCTTTTATATAATTTTTTATAAATATGGTCACAAAAGTACTTTCAAAATTCAATGGCAAGTTAAAAGGGCATCATAGACTGTAGTATTCAATTTTGAATGCATTCTTTCAAATATACAGTGGACCCCTGGTTTACGATATTATTTCACTCCAGTAGTATGTTCAGGTGCCAGTACTGACCGAATTTGTTCCCATAAGAAATATTGTGAAGTAGATTAGTCCATTTCAGACCCCCAAACATACACGTACAAACGCACTTACATAAATACACTTTCATAATTGGTCGCATTCAGAGGTGATCGTAAAGCGGGGGTCCACTGTATTTACAAAACCACGGCATAATGAGCAATCCTGTGAGTTTGTGTAACACTTATTTAAGACACACACACACACACACACACACACACAACTGTGCACAATAGACTCCACCAAATAGCTATCAAGTTTGTACAATCCATAATTTGGGTTATATACTGTATTCCTATTATGTTTGAAGAGATGATTCAATTATGTTTCTTTCCATGATGGAACTGTTGGGTAAAATTATCTGGGCAGCAGCCCACCCCAGTGGGTGATTGCAAGAAATGACAAGGTTGAAGCTAGCATTCGACTCCCGGCCCGTCCTGATTGAGTACTGGTACTAGGCTAATCTGGTTTCCAGAGGTTTACCTGTTTGACCAATATATGAGGGCACAGAGCACATGGGACCTTGTAAACACCACCAATATTTTTAGATGGTGTGTTTTTAATCGACCTCTGTTCCACTGTCCCAGTGTTTTTGAAAGTAAGATTAATAATGAACTTTTTTAGTACCTCACGCAAGTAGAATAAAATTCTCATTGTATGGTCAAACTAGTATGTTATTCCTAGCAGTCACTTCCTTAGGTTCAGTCCTGTAGAAAGTTTACCCAGCTGACAGTACGCCCTTCTCGGCAAAATCCCTGGGGTATCTCTGTTTCTAAATACTCTGAACTGCAGATACGCAAAGTTCTCAGGAACGCTGAAGAAAACACTCCTTTTGACCTTAAATTCATGACTGGAATGGTAATGAATGTATGACACATTGGTGGACCTCCTGTAAACTGTAAATTTTTATGTTGTCATACACTCATTACTATTCTAGTCATGTCTAGGATTAAAGAAGTATATTCCTTTAATTGTTCTGGTAGCCTTGCAGATCTACAGTCCGGAGTGTATTTCGAAAATATCACGGCACTGCTGAATAATAAGGGAGAATTATCTGATATATAATAAGTATTTTTGATAACTTACATATGGCAAGTGCTGCGATGAGCCGGACAGAAGAGTCTGGCATATCACAGTTGGGGAAAAAAGGCTGAATGACGTATTTGGCAAAAGTTAGGCCCATGATGGCATTGGTCGTAGGCCTGAAATGAAATATAAATATGATAACAGAGAGGGAGAGAGAGAGAGAGAGAGAGAGAGAGCGATAGAGAGAGTGAGAAAGAGAGAGAGAGAGAGCGATAGAGAGAGAGAGCGATAGAGAGAGAGTGAGAGAGAGAGAGAGAGAGAGCGATAGAGAGAGAGTGAGAGAGAGAGAGTGTAACAGAGTACTAAGCAACTTAGTAACAGAGTAATAAACAATAAATCGTATTGGTTATTATTGTATTATAATTAATTTTTTTCACCAAACTGATCATATCCCACAGAGGAAGGGTGATCTAAAAAGAAAAAAGAAAAGTTTCTCTTTTTAACTTTAGTAATACATACAGGAGAAGGTGTTACTAGCCCCTTGCTCCCGGCATTTTAGTCGCCTCTTACAACACCCACGGAGGTAAGAGGAAATAAACAAGAGCAGGAAAAAGTAAGAAAACAGAAGAAAACCCAGAGGGGTGTGTATATATATGCTTGTACATGTATGTGTAGTGTGACCTAAGTGTAAGTAGAAGTAGTAAGATATACCTGTAATCTTGGACATTTATGAGACAGACAAAAGACACCAGCAATCCTACCATCATGTAAAACAATTACAGGCTTTCGTTTTACACTCACTTGGCAGGACGGTAGTACCTCCCTGGGTGGTTGCTGTCTACCAACCTACTACCACAGGATGGTAGTACCTCCCTGGGCGGTTGCTGTCTACCAACCTACTACCACAGGATGGTAGTACCTCCCTGGGTGGTTGTTGTCTACCAACCTACTACCACAGGACGGTAGTACCTCCCTGGGTGGTTGTTGTCTACCAACCTACTACCACAGGATGGTAGTACCTCCCTGGGCGGTTGCTGTCTACCAACCTACTACCACAGGATGGTAGTACCTCCCTGGGTGGTTGTTGTCTACCAACCTACTACCACAGGACGGTAGTACCTCCCTGGGTGGTTGTTGTCTACCAACCTACTACCACAGGATGGTAGTACCTCCCTGGGTGGTTGTTGTCTACCAACCTACTACCACAGGATGGTAGTACCTCCCTGGGTGGTTGCTGTCTACCAACCTACTACCACAGGACGGTAGTACCTCCCTGGGTGGTTGTCTACCAACCTACTACCACAGGATGGTAGTACCTCCCTGGGTGGTTGCTGTCTACCAACCTACTACCACAGGACGGTAGTACCCCCCTGGGTGGTTGTTGTCTACCAACCTACTACCACAGGATGGTAGTAACTCCCTGGGTGGTTGTTGTCTACCAACCTACTACCACAGGACGGTAGTACCTCCCTGGGTGGTTGCTGTCTACCAACCTACTACCACAGGATGGTAGTACCTCCCTGGGTGGTTGTTGTCTACCAACCTACTACCACTGGACGGTAGTACCTCCCTGGGTGGTTGTTGTCTACCAAGCTACTACCACAGGATGGTAGTACCTCCCTGGGTGGTTGTTGTCTACCAACCTAATACCACAGGACGGTAGTACCTCGTTGGGTGGTTGTTGTCTACCAACCTACTACCACAGGATGGTAGTACCTCCCTGGGTGGTTGTTGTCTACCAACCTACTACCACAGGACGGTAGTACCTCCCTGGGTGGTTGTCTACCAGCCTACTACCACAGGATGGTAGTACCTCCCTGGGTGGTTGTTGTCTACCAACCTACTACCACAGGACGGTTGTACCTCCCTGGGTGGTTGTTGTCTACCAACCTACTACCACAGGATGGTAGTACCTCCCTGGGTGGTTGTTGTCTACCAACCTACTACCACAGGACGGTAGTACCTCCCTGGGTGGTTGTTGTCTACCAACCTACTACCACAGGATGGTAGTACCTTCCTGGGTGGTTGCTGTCTACCAACCTACTACCACAGGATGGTAGTACCTCCCTGGGTGGTTGCTGTCTACCAGCCTACTACCACAGGATGGTAGTACCTCCCAGGGTGGTTGTTGTCTACCAACCTACTACCACAGGACGGTAGTACCTCCCTGGGTGGTTGTTGTCTACCAACCTACTACCACTGGATGGTAGTACCTCCCTGGGCGGTTGTTGTCTACCAACCTACTACCAAATGATGGTAGTACCTCCCTGGGTGGTTGTTGTCTACCCTTCTACCACAGGACAGTAGTACCTCCCTGGGTGGTTGTTGTCTACCAACCTACTACCACAGGACGGTAGTACCTCCCTGGGTGGTTGTTGTCTACCAGCCTACTACCACAGGATGGTAGTACCTCACTGGGTGGTTGTTGTCTACCAACCTACTACCACAGGACGGTAGTACCTCCCTTGGTGGTTGTCTACCAACCTACTACCACAGGATGGTAGTACCTCCTTGGGTGGTTGTTGTCTACCAACCTACTACCACAGGACGGTAGTACCTCCCTGGGTGGTTGTTGTCTACCAACCTACTACCACAGGATGGTAGTACCTCCCTGGGTGGTTGTCTACCAACCTACTACCACAGGATGGTAGTACCTCCCTGGGTGGTTGCTGTCTACCAACCTACTACCACAGGATGGTAGTACCTCCCTGGGTGGTTGTTGTCTACCAACCTACTACCAAAGGACGGTAGTACCTCCCTGGGTGGTTGTCTACCAACCTACTACCACAGGATGGTAGTACCTCCCTGGGTGGTTGTTGTCTACCAACCTACTACCATAGGACGGTAGTACCTCCCTGGGCGGTTGTCTACCAACCTACTACCACAGGACGGTAGTACCTCCCTGGGTGGTTGTTGTCTACCAACTTACTACCACAGGACGGTAGTACCTCCCTGGGTGGTAGTTGTCTACCAACCTACTACCACAGGACGGTAGTACCTCCCTGGGTGGTTGTTGTCTACCAACCTACTACCACAGGAAGGTAGTACCTCCCTGGGTGGTTGTCTATCAACCTACTACCACAGGATGGTAGTACCTCCCTGGGTGGTTGCTGTCTACCAACCTACTACCACAGGATGGTAGTACCTCCCTGGGTGGTTGCTGTCTACCAACCTACTACCACAGGACGGTAGTACCTCCCTAGGTGGTTGCTGTCTACCAACCTACTACCACAGGACGGTATTACCTCCCTGGGTGGTTGTCTACCAACCTACTACAACAGGATGGTAGTGCCTCCCTGGGTGGTTGCTGTCTACCATCCTACCACCACAGAACAGTAGTACCTCCCTGGGTGGTTGTTATCTACCAACCTACTACCACAGGACGGTAGTACCTCCCTGGGAGGTTGCTGTCTACCAACCTACTACCACAGGATGGTAGTACCTCCCTGGGTGGTTGCTGTCTACCAACCTACTACCACAAGACGGTAGTACCTCCCTGGGTGGTTGCTGTCTACCAACCTACTACCACAGGATGGTAGTACCTCCCTGGGTGGTTGTCTACCAACCTACTACCATAGGACGGTAGTACCTCCCTGGGTGGTTGCTGTCTACCAACCTACTACCACAGGACGGTAGAACTTCCCTGGGTGGTTGCTGTCTACCAACCTACTACCACAGGATGGTAGTACCTCCCTGGGTGGTTGCTGTCTACCAACCTACTACCACAGGACGGTAGTACCTCCCTAGGTGGTTGTTGTCTACCAACCTACTACCACAGGACGGTATTACCTCCCTGGGTGGTTGTCTACCAACCTACTACCACAGGACGGTAGTACCTCCCTGGGATGTTGCTGTCTAGAAACCTACTACCACAGGATGGTAGTACCTCCCTGGGTGGTTGCTGTCTACCAATCTACTACCACAGGACGGTAGTACCTCCCTGGGTGGTTGCTGTCTACCAACCTACTACCACAGGATGGTAGTACCTCCCTGGGTGGTTGTCTACCAACCTACTACCACAGGATGGTAGTACCTCCCTGGGTGGTTGCTGTCTACCAACCTACTACCACAGGACGGTAGAACCTCCCTGGGTGGTTGCTGTCTACCAACCTACTACCGCAGGATGGTATTACCTCTCTGGGTGGTTGCTGTCTACCAACCTACTACCACAGGATGGTAGTACCTCCCTGGGTGGTTGCTGTCTACCAACCTACTACCACAGGACGGTAGTACCTCCCTGGGTGGTTGTTGTCTACCAACCTACTACCACAGGATGGTAGTACCTCCCTGGGTGGTTGCTGTCTACCAACCTACTACCACAGGATGGTAGTACCTCCCTGGGTGGTTGTCTACCAAACCTACTACCACAGGATGGTAGTACCTCCCTGGGTGGTTGTTGTCTACCAACCTACTACCACAGGATGGTAGTACCTCCCTGGGTGGTTGTTGTCTACCAACCTACTACCACAGGACGGTAGTACCTCCCTGGGTGGTTGTTGTCTACCACCTACTACCACAGGATGGTAGTACCTCCCTGGGTGGTTGCTGTCTACCAACCTACTACCACAGGGCGGTAGTACCTCCCTGGGTGGTTGTTGTCTACCAACCTACTACCACAGGATGGTAGTACCTCCCTGGGTGGTTGTTGTCTACCAACCTACTACCACAGGATGGTAGTACCTCCCTGGGTGGTTGTTGTCTACCAACCTACTACCACAGGACGGTAGTACCTCCCTGGGCGGTTGTCTACCAACCTACTACCACAGGACGGTAGTACCTCCCTGGGTGGTTGTCTACCAACCTACTACCACAGGATGGTAGTACCTCCCTGGGTGGTTGTCTACCAACCTACTACCACAGGACGGTAGTACCTGCCTGGGTGGTTGTCTACCAACCTACTACCACAGGACGGTAGTACCTGCCTGGATGGTTGTTGTCTACCAACCTACTACCACAGGACGGTAGTACCTCCCTGGGTGGTTGTTGTCTACCAACCTACTACCACAGGATGGTAGTACCTCCCTGGGTAGTTGTTGTCTACCAACCTACTACCACAGGACGGTAGTACCTCCCTGGGCGGTTGCTGTCTACCAACCTACTACCACAGGATGGTAGTACCTCCCTGGGTAGTTGTTGTCTACCAACCTACTACCACAGGACGGTAGTACCTCCCTGGGCATTCGCTGTCTACCAGCCTACTACCACAGGATAATAGTACCACCCTGGGCAGTCGCTGTCTACCAGCCTACTACCACAGGATGGTAGTACCACCCTAGGCAGTCGCTGTCTACCAGCCTACTACCACAGGATGGTAGTACCACCCTAGGCAGTCGCTGTCTACCAGCCTACTACCACAAGGATGGTAGTACCACCCTGGGCAGTCGCTGTCTACCAGCCTACTACCACAGGATGGTAGTACCACCTGGGCAGTCGCTGTCTACCAGCCTACTACCACAGGATGGTAGTACCACCCTGGGCAGTCGCTGTCTACCAGCCTACTACCACAGGATGGTAGTACCACCCTGGGCGGTCGCTGTCTACCAGCCTACTACCACAGGATGGTAGTACCTCCCTGGGCGGTTGCTGTCTACCAGCCTACTACCACAGGATGGTAGTACCACCCTGGGCGGTCGCTGTCTACCAGCCTACTACCACAGGATGGTAGTACCACCCTGGGCGGTCGCTGTCTACCAGCCTACTACCACAGGATGGTAGTACCACCCTGGGCGGTCGCTGTCTACCAGCCTACTACCACAGGATGGTAGTACCACCCTGGGCGGTCGCTGTCTACCAGCCTACTACCACAGGACGGTAGTACCACCCTGGGCAGTCGCTGTCTACCAGCCTACTACCACAGGATGGTATTACCACCCTGGGCGGTCGCTGTCTACCAGCCTACTACCACAGGACGGTAGTACCACCCTGGGCGGTCGCTGTCTACCAGCCTACTACCACAGGATGGTAGTACCTCCCTGGGCGGTCGCTGTCTACCAGCCTACTACCACAGGATGGTAGTACCTCCCTGGGCAGTCGCTGTCTACCAGCCTACTACCACAGGATGGTAGTACCACCCTGGGCAGTCGCTGTCTACCAGCCTACTACCACAGGATGGTAGTACCACCCTGGCAGTCGCTGTCTACCAGCCTACTACCACAGGATGGTAGTACCACCCTGGGCAGTCGCTGTCTACCAGCCTACTACCACAGGATGGTAGTACCACCCTGGGCGGTCGCTGTCTACCAGCCTACTACCACAGGATGGTAGTACCTCCCTGGGCGGTTGCTGTCTACCAGCCTACTACCACAGGATGGTAGTACCACCCTGGGCGGTCGCTGTCTACCAGCCTACTACCACAGGATGGTAGTACCACCCTGGGCGGTCGCTGTCTACCAGCTACTACCACAGGATGGTAGTACACCCTGGGCGGTCGCTGTCTACCAGCCTACTACCACAGGATGGTAGTACCACCCTGGGCGGTCGCTGTTACCAGCCTACTACCACAGGATGGTAGTACCACCCTGGGCGGTCGCTGACTACCAGCCTACTACCACAGGATGGTAGTACCACCCTGGGCGGTCGCTGTCTACCAGCCTACTACCACAGGACGGTAGTACCACCCTGGGCAGTCGCTGTCTACCAGCCTACTACCACAGGATGGTATTACCACCCTGGGCGGTCGCTGTCTACCAGCCTACTACCACAGGACGGTAGTACCACCCTGGGCGGTCGCTGTCTACCAGCCTACTACCACAGGATGGTAGTACCTCCCTGGGCGGTCGCTGTCTACCAGCCTACTACCACAGGATGGTAGTACCTCCCTGGGCAGTCGCTGTCTACCAGCCTACTACCACAGGACGGTAGTACCACCCTGGGCGGTCGCTGTCTACCAGCCTACTACCACAGGATGGTAGTACCTCCCTGGGCGGTCGCTGTCTACCAGCCTACTACCACAGGATGGTAGTACCTCCCTGGGAAGTCGCTGTCTACCAGCCTACTACCACAGGATGGTAGTACCACCCTGGGCGGTCGCTGTCTACCAACCTACTACCACAGGACGGTAGTACCTCCCTGGGCGGTCGCTGTCTACCAGCCTACTACCACAGGATGGTAGTACCTCCCTGGGCGGTTGCTGTCTACCAGCCTACTACCACAGGATGGTAGTACCTCCCTGGGCGGTTGCTGTCTACCAGCCTACTACCACAGGATGGTAGTACCTCCCTGGGCGGTTGCTGTCTACCAGCCTACTACCACAGGATGGTAGTACCTCCCTGGGCGGTTGCTGTCTACAACCTCTACCACAGGATGTAGTACCTCCCTGGGCAGTCGCTGTCTACCAGCCTACTACCACAGGATGGTAGTACCTCCCTGGGCGGTTGCTGTCTACCAGCCTACTACCACAGGATGGTAGTACCACCCTGGGCGGTCGCTGTCTACCAGCCTACTACCTTACAATTAAAATTATCATTAGTAATTAATTCATTCAGTAATATGGTTATAGAAGAACACAAGAGACAGGAACTCACACAAAAATAAGGTTTGCGTCCCAGAGGAACAAGAAGGAAGGGAGTGAGCCGAAGGCTGTGTTGATATAGGCATAATCTCCACCAGACTTGGGTATGGAGGTGCCCAGCTCAGCGTAGCAGAGTGCCCCTACCATGGAGAGCATGCCACACAGTACCCACACCACCAGTGACATGCCCACGCTGCCCGTCTCCTGCAGGACGCCTTTGGGTGATATGAAGATACCTGTGGGATGGAAGGATTTTTGAATCTGGGAAATTTATGGTGAATATTCGTTTAGAAAAATCTTACTTGTGTAGTACTTCCCACCTCCAGAACTGTAACATCCTCACTCATCCTTCAGAGTACAGGTACTGTACTTCCCACCTCCAGAACTGTAACATCCTCACTCATCCTTCAGAGTACAGGTACTGTACTCCCACCTCCAGAACTGTAACATCCTCACTCATCCTTCAGAGTACAGGTACTGTACTTCCCACCTCCAGAACTGTAACATCCTCACTCATCCTTCAGAGTACAGGTACAGTACTTCCCACCTCCAGAACTGTAACATCCTCACTCATCCTTCAGAGTACAGGTACTGTACTTCCCACCTCCAGAACTGTAACATCCTCACTCATCCTTCAGAGTACAGGTACTGTACTTCTCACCTCCAGGACTGTAACATCCTCACTCATCCTTCAGAGTACAGGTACTGTACTTCCCACCTCCAGAACTGTAACATCCTCACTCATCCTTCAGAGTACAGGTACTGTACTTCTCACCTCCAGAAACTGTAACATCCTCACTCATCCTTCAGAGTACAGGTACTGTACTTCCCACCTCCAGAACTGTAACATCCTCACTCATCCTTCAGATTTACAGGTACTGTACTTTCACCTCCAGGACTGTAACATCCTCACTCATCCTTCAGAGTACAGGTACTGTACTTCCCACCTCCAGAACTGTAACATCCTCATCATCCTTCAGAGTACAGGTACTGTACTTCCCACTCCAGGACTGTAACATCCTCACTCATCCTTCAGAGTACAGGTACTGTACTTCCCACCTCCAGAACTGTAACATCCTCACTCATCCTTCAGAGTACAGGTACTGTACTTCCCACCTCCAGAACTGTAAACATCCTCACTCATCCTTCAGAGTACAGGTACTGTACTTCCCACCTCCAGAACTGTAACATCCTCACTCATCCTTCAGAGTACAGGTACTGTACTTCCCACCTCCAGAACTGTAACATCCTCACTCATCCTTCAGAGTACAGGTTACTGTACTTCCCACCTCCAGAACTGTAACATCCTCACTCATCCTTCAGAGTACAGGTATTGTACTTCCCACCTCCAGAACTGTAACATCCTCACTCATCCTTCAGAGTACAGGTACTGTACTTCCCACCTCCCAGAACTGTAACATCCTCACTCATCCTTCAGAGTACAGGTACTGTACTTCCCACCTCCAGAACTGTAACATCCTCACTCATCCTTCAGAGTACAGGTACTGTACTTCCCACCTCCAGAACTGTAACATCCTCACTCATCCTTCAGAGTACAGGTACTGTACTTCCCACCTCCAGAACTGTAACATCCTCACTCATCCTTCAGAGTACAGATATTGTACTTCCCACCTCCAGGACTGTAACATCCTCACTCATCCTTCAGAGTACAGGTACTGTACTTCCCACCTCCAGAACTAACATCCTCACTCATCCTTCAGAGTACAGACACTGTACTTCCCACCTCCAGGACTGTAACATCCTCAGTCATCCTTCAGAGTACAGGTACTGTACTTCCCACCTCCAGAACTGTAACATCCTCACTCATCCTTCAGAGTACAGGTATTGTACTTCCCACCTCCAGAACTGTAACATCCTCACTCATCCTTCAGAGTACAGGTACTGTACTTCCCACCTCCAGGACTGTAACATCCTCACTCATCCTTCAGAGTACAGGTATTGTACTTCCCACCTCCAGAACTGTAACATCCTCACTCATCCTTCAGAGTACAGGTACTGTACTTCCCACCTCCAGGACTGTAACATCCTCACTCATCCTTCAGTGTACAGGTATTGTACTTCCCACCTCCAGAACTGTAACATCCTCACTCATCCTTCAGAGTACAGGTACTGTACTTCCCACCTCCAGGACTGTAACACCCTCACTCATCCTTCAGAGTACAGGTATTGTACTTCCCACCTCCAGAACTGTAACATCCTCACTCATCCTTCAGAGTACAGGCACTGTACTTCCCACCTCCAGGACTGTAACATCCTCACTCATCCTTCAGAGTACAGACACTGTACTTCCCACCTCCAGAACTGTAGCATCCTCACTCATCCTTCAGAGTACAGGTACTGTACTTCCCACCTCCAGGATTGTAACATCCTCACTCATCCTTCAGAGTACAGATACTGTACTTCCCACCTCCAGAACTGTAACATCCTCACTCATCCTTCAGAGTACAGGTACTGTACTTCCCACCTCCAGAACTGTAACATCCTCACTCATCCTTCAGAGTACAGGTACTGTACTTCCCACCTCCAGGATTGTAACATCCTCACTCATCCTTCAGAGTACAGGTACTGTACTTCTCACCTCCAGAACTGTAACATCCTCACACATCCTTCAGAGTACAGGTACTTTTACTTCCCCACTCCAGAACTGTAACATCCTCACTCATCCTTCAGAGAACAGACACTGTACTTCCCACCTCCAGAACTGTAACATCCTCACTCATCCTTCAGAGTACAGGCACTGTATTTCCCCACCTCCAGAACTGTAACATCCTCACTCATCCTTCAGAGTACAGGCACTGTACTTCCCACCTCCAGAACTGTAACATCCTCACTCATCCTTCAGAGTACAGGTACTGTACTTCCCACCTCCAGAACTGTAACATCCTCACTCATCCTTCAGAGTACAGGTACTGTACTTCCCACCTCCAGAACTGTAACATCCTCACTCATCCTTCAGAGTACAGGTACTGTACTTCCCACCTTCAGAACTGTAACATCCTCACTCATCCTTCAGAGTACAGGTACTGTACTTCCCACCTCCAGAACTGTAACATCCTCACTCATCCTTCAGAGAACAGACACTGTACTTCCCACCTCCAGAACTGTAACATCCTCACTCATCCTTCAGAGTACAGGTACTGTACTTCCCACCTCCAGAACTGTAACATCCTCACTCATCCTTCAGAGTACAGGTACTGTACTTCCACCTCCAAAAACTGTAACATTCTCACTCATCCTTCAGAGTACAGGTACTGTACTTCCCACCTCCAGAACTGTAACATCCTCACTCATCCTTCAGAGTACAGGCACTGTACTTCCCACCTCCAGAACTGTAACATCCTCACTCATCCTTCAGAGTACAGGTACTGTACTTCCCACCTCCAGGACTCTAGTCCGGCTAACCTAACAAGCACAATAACTCACCCGAGCCAATTATGATACCCAGGATAATGGCAACTCCTTCCAGCAATCCCAGTTCTTTTTTGAGTTCTATCTTGCCTTCAGTGTCCTTATACACATCGTCTTCTTGAGGGTTCATAGGTTCTAGTTCCGCTGTTAATGGTTCGGTCGTGTCGCTGGCAGCCAGAACTCCTATACGTTTTTGGGGCATATTTAACCTGTCAGACACCAAAAATTTTAAATTTATTTTTAAAATTATGTTTGGTTACATGTTATAAATATATATGATTTTTTTTTTACAGAATCCCGGTGTTTTTTTTTTTTTTTTTTTTGAGTAGATATTCTGATTTTTAGGAGTGCCCTGGGATTTTTTAGGTATTCAGTCTCTTAGCCTTGGTAAAAGGCTTGGTAGTAGGTGATCAGTACCTCAGTGATGATAGTAGGTGGTCAGTACCTCAGTCATGATAGTAGGTGGTCAGTACCTCAGTCATGATAGTAGGTGGTCAGTACCTCAGTCATGATAGTAGGTGGTCAGTACCTCAGTCGTGATAGTAGGTGGTCAGTTTCCTCAGTCATGATAGTAGGTGGTCAGTACCTCAGTCATGATAGTAGGTGGTCAGTACCTCAGTCATGATAGTAGGTGGTCAGTCCCTCAGTCATGATAGTAGGTGGTCAGTACCTCAGTCATGATAGTAGGTGGTCAGTACCTCAGTCATGATAGTAGGTGGTCAGTACCTCAGTCATGTATAGTAGGTGGTCAGTACCTCAGTCATGATAGTAGGTGGTCAGTACCTCAGTCATGATAGTAGGTGGTCAGTACCTCAGTCATGATAGTCGGTGGTCATTACCTCAGTCATGATAGTAGGTCGTCAGTACCTCAGTCATGATAGTAGGTGGTCAGTACCTCAGTCATGATAGTAGGTGGTCAGTCCCTCAGTCATGATAGTAGGTGGTCAGTACCTCAGTCATGATAGTAGGTTTTCAATACCTCAGTCATGATAGCAGGTGGTCAGTACCTCAGTCATGATAGCAGGTGGTCAGTACCTCAGTCATGATAGTAGGTGGTCAGTACCTCAGTCATGATAGTAGGTGGTCAGTACCTCAGTCATTGATAGTAGGTGGTCAGTACCTCAGTCATGATAGTAGGTGGTCAGTACCTCAGTCATGATAGTAGGTGGTCAGTACCTCAGTCATGATAGTAGGTGGTCAGTACCTCAGTCATGATAGTAGATGGTCAGTACTCAGTCATGATAGTAGGTGGTCAGTACCTCAGTCATGATAGTAGGTGGTCAGTACCTCAGTCATGATAGTAGATGGTCAGTACCTCAGTCATGATAGTAGGTGGTCAGTACCTCAGTCATGATAGTAGGTGGTCAGTACCTCAGTCATGATAGTAGGTGGTCAGTACCTCAGTCATGATAGTAGGTGGTCAGTACCTCAGTCATGATAGTAGGTGGTCAGTACCTCAGTCATGATAGTAGGTGGTCAGTACCTCAGTCATGATAGTAGGTGGTCAGTACCTCAGTCATGATAGTAGGTGGTCAGTACCTCAGTCATGATAGTAGGTGGTCAGTACCTCAGTCATGATAGTAGGTGGTCAGTACCTCAGTCATGATAGTAGGTGGTCAGTACCTCAGTCATGATAGTAGGTGGTCAGTACCTCAGTCATGATAGTAGGTGGTCAGTACCTCAGTCATGATAGTAGGTGGTCAGTACCTATTATATCTAGTTCAGTACCCTTTATATATTCAGAAATCAGTCATAAATAGTAGGTGATTCTGTACCTCATCATGATAGTAGGGGTCATCCTAATCATTAGTAGTGGTCAACCTCATCATTAGTAGGGGTCTACACCTATGATAGTAGTTCAGTACACTAACTAGTATCTGTCCCATCTGACATAGTGCAGTACCTATTAATCAAGATTAATCTTAACATAGAATTAACTAAGAAATCACTGAAATCACTAAGTACTCTACTGTACACCTAACATAGCACTGTACATCTAACATAGTACTGTACACCTAACATAGTACTGTACACCTAACATAGCACTGTACACCTAACATAGTACTGTACACCTAACATAGTACTGTACATCTAACATAGCACTGTACACCTAACATAGTACTGTACACCTAACATAGCACTGTACACCTAACATAGTACTGTACACCTAACATAGAAACTGTACATCTAACATAGCACTGTACACCTAACATAGCACTGTACACCTAACATAGCACTGTACACCTAACATAGTACTGTACACCTAACATAGCACTGTACACCTAACATAGCACTGTACACCTAACATAGTACTGTACATCTAACATAGCACTGTACACCTAACATAGCACTGTACACCTAACATAGTACTGTACACCTAACATAGTACTGTACACCTAACATAGCACTGTACATCTAACATAGCACTGTACACCTAACATAGCACTGTCCACCTAACATAGTACTGTACACCTAACATAGTACTGTACACCTAACATAGCACTGTACATCTAACATAGCACTGTACACCTAACATAGCACTGTCCACCTAACATAGTACTGTACACCTAACATAGTACTGTACACCTAACATAGTACTGTACACCTAACATAGTACTGTACACCTAACATAGCACTGTACATCTAACATAGCACTGTACACCTAACATAGCACTGTACACCTAACATAGTACTGTACACCTAACATAGTACTGTACATCTAACATAGTACTGTACACCTAACATAGCACTGTACACCTAATATAAAGAACAGTTCACTTAATGGATTTTGTTTATTTCAGGAGTTCATTATATGGAGAGACTGTTATATGGAAAGTATACTGGTACTGGCGGTAAAAGTGAGATGCAGCAGCTGCAGGTTGCCTCACAGGTGGGTGGGGCCCACCAGTGACGCATGTAGGTGTCAGTAAAAACTTTCTTTTGGTTTAAAGGTAAATAATGTACACTATATATACATTGAGAGGTGTATATCTCGGTGTATATAAACTGAGAGGTGTATGTAAGGTGTATATCTCGGTGTATATACACTACTAACAAGGTGAAGATTGAGACACTTATGCAGCATATGGGAATCTTTATTCAGGAAACGTTTCGCCACACAGTGGCTTCATCAGTCCAATACAAAGAGGAAGGCGTAAGGAGAGGAGGAGTATGAGGTAATCAGTCCCTCGGCCTGGAGTTGATGTGTTCAGTCCATCAGTCTTGTAGAATTTACAGCATTCTTTGGACGTAGACCTACTTCGACTAGTGGATGGTACCACTATGACCCCGCCTCCGCCTGCTTCACCTCACCTCACTACTTCGACTAGTGGATGGTACCACTATGACCCCGCCTCCGTCTGCTTCACCTCACCTCACTACTTCGACTAGTGGATGGTACCACTATGACCCGACCTCCGCCTGCTTCACCTCACCTCACTACTTCGGGCTAGTGGATGGTACCACTATGACCCCGCCTCCGCCTGCTTCACCTCACCTCACTACTTCGACTAGTGGATGGTTCCACTATGACCCCGCCTCCGCCTGCTTCACCTCACCTCACTACTTCGACTAGTGGATGGTACCACTATGACCCCGCCTCCGCCTGCTTCACCTCAACTCACTACTTCGATAGTGGATGGTACCACTATGACCCCGCCTCCGCCTGCTTCACCTCACCTCACTACTTCGACTAGTGGATGGTACCACTATGACCCCGCCTCCGTCTGCTTCACCTCACCTCACTACTTCGACTAGTGGATGGTACCACTATGACCCCGCCTCCGCCTGCTTCACCTCACCTCACTACTTCGACTAGTGGATGGTACCACTATGACCCCGCCTCCGCCTGCTTCACCTCACCTCACTACTTCGATAGTGGATGGTACCACTATGACCCGCCTCCGCCTGCTTCACCTCACCTCACTACTTCGACTAGTGGATGGTACCACTATGACCCCGCCTCCGTCTGCTTCACCTCACCTCACTACTTCGACTAGTGGATGGTACCACTATGACCCCGCCTCGCCTGCTTCACCTCACCTCACTACTTCGACTAGTGGATGGTTCCACTATGACCCCGCCTCCGCCTGCTTCACCTCACCTCACTACTTCGACTAGTGGATGGTACCACTATGACCCCGCCTCCGCCTGCTTCACCTCACCTCACTACTTCGACTAGTGGATGGTTCCACTATGACCCCGCCTCCGCCCGCTTCACCTCACCTCATACTTCGACTAGTGGATGGTACCACTATGACCCCGCCTCCGCCTGCTTCACCTCACCTCACTACTTCGACTAGTGGATGGTACCACTATGACCCTGCCTCCGCCTGCTTCACCTCACCTCACTACTTCGACTAGTGGATGGTACCACTATGACCCCGCCTCCGTCTGCTTCACCTCACCTCACTACTTCGACTAGTGGATGGTTCCACTATGACCCCGCCTCCGCCTGCTTCACCCTTTCCTCACTACTTCGACTAGTGGATGGTACACTATGACCCCGCCTCCGTCTGCTTCACCTCACCTGACTACTTCGACTAGTGGATGGTACCACTATGACCCTGCCTCCACCTGCTTCACGTCACCTCACTACTTCGACTAGGGATGGTACCACTATGGGCCCCGCCTCCCCCCTGCTTCACCTCACCTCACTACTTCGACTAGTGGATGGTACCACTATGACCCCGCCTCCGTCTGCTTCACCTCACCTCACTACTTCGACTAGTGGATGGTACCACTATGACCCCGCCTCCGCCTGCTTCACCTCACCTCACTACTTCGATAGTGGATGGTACCACTATGACCCCGCCTCCGCCTGCTTCACCTCACCTCACTACTTCGACTAGTGGATGGTACCACTATGACCCCGCCTCCGCCTGCTTCACCTCACCTCACTACTTCGACTAGTGGATGGTTCCACTATGACCCCGCCTCCGCCTGCTTCACCTCACCTCACTACTTCGACTAGTGGATGGTACCACTATGACCCCGCCTCCGTCTGCTTCACCTCACCTCACTACTTCGACTAGTGGATGGTACCACTATGACCCCGCCTCCACCTGCTTCACCTCACCTCACTACTTCCACTAGTGGATGGTACCACTATGACCCCGCCTCCGCCTGCTTCACCTCACCTCACTACTTCGACTAGTGGATGGTACCACTATGACCCGCCTCCGCTGCTTCACCTCACCTCACTACTTCGACTAGTGGATGGTACCACTATGACCCCACCTCCTCCTGCTTCACCTCACCTGACTACTTCGACTAATGGATGGTACCACTATGACCCCGCCTCCG